TTACTTCCCATCATATTGAAAATGTTTGAAAGACTTTTCTGATTCGCTATAGGAATTGTTTCATACAGCTTTTGTAGAGCTTTTGATGGCACATCTTTTAAAAATGAATTCAATATTCTATTATTTTCTCAAGTCGAGATATATGAAACACAAAAAAGTCTCAAAAATTTTCGATATGATAAGAAGTAACAATGTTATGCATGTTGTTCATTTTGAATATAAGAAAAACCATTATAACAGGTCAAAAGGAAATCAATCATACAGCTTTTTACACAGCTTTTCATGGCGCATCTTTTGTAAAAAAATTCAACGTTATATCATTTTCCTAAGCCGAGATATGTGCAAAATACAAAAATGTAGTGAAAAAAAATGTCACTTTTTTTTCTAATATAGGTTTTATCCCCTAAACTGCAACTGATGTTCAACGTTAATATATCAAAAGATGCAGCGCGTTCTGGGCTTTCTCCCTATATATAGCGAATTAAAAAATAAAAGAGTTATAGTAACAAAAATAAAAAAAACAGAAGGGGGGATTTCAATTGGCCCTCACAGTATATGGTCTATATGACTTATCATTGTATGATTCACTATTGGCTTTTGTTCATTTTTCCCTATTCCATTATATCTTTGTTATAAGTGACTATTTGTTCTCAATGTGGCGAATAATTTTATTGAAGTCTTGAAATGCCGAGAAAACATTCTATTTTTTCCAAATTTGTTCTTGACTCCACGAGAAGATTCGGAAGTTTGTAGAATGACAAAGAATACGTTCTTTTCTTTTCAAGGACGATGTTAAATTGCCTGAAACGTATTCATCCTTTCGAACAACCCATTCTTACATATTCCTCTAGCAAAGCTAAAGAAAGCTTTCTCATTTTAATAGAATCTTATTTTGACCGTTCTAAAATAGAACGGAAAAGAAACTATTCTAATAGCGATTGGAACGGTTCAGAACGCTTTCCATCAAGACTAAGAACGATTTGGAATTGAGAAGAAAGCATTCCAAAAATGTATGGAACGGTAAAGAATGCGTTCCTTTAGATACAGAACGTACTTTTATTGCTGATGAACGCGTTCTACAAAGTAAAGAATCCATTCTTCACTTACAAGATCGCGTTCCAGTTTTTGATGAACGCGTTTTTTTCCGACTTTTTTTGAAATATTTTTCACTGGGTATTATAAAAAAAAATTATCTTTTGATACTGTTCTTTTATCGAAATATCTGAAAAAACAGAAGCTTGACACAAAATAGTCAGGAATACAATTTTCAAAGGAACTTATTATGCTCATTTCTCTGCAATAATACGGTAATGGCACTAATCCTTGGGGGAGGGGGTATTTCTCTACTATGTGAGCCCTACCAATGATCAAAATATGTGCTCAAACGGAGGGTATCAGTTGGAGAGGTTCCCTCGTAAGGAAAAAATATTGCTGATTCTGAACTGCAAAGATAAATAGAAAGTGCAAAAGTTATGGTAATCAATGTTACATCACTATTACATACAGTTAAAACAGGTGAGGATAATGCACAATGTGGGACACATGTACTTGAAAATACTATTGAATCATTTGCACAAAAACTTCAAACTTTTAATAATGGACAATTACCAACAAATTGAACAATGTCAAAAGAACTAATTCATGCAAGAAAAGCAAGTAAAAAATTTTAAAAAGTATTTGATTTATTTAATTTATGTTATTTCGAGATATCTTATTTTGTAGGAAACTCTTTGCTTTATCGTTCGATATACTCTGAACAACATTATTTCTTTTACATTCTAGATGAGAAAAAAAATAAGGTTTTTGATATCTCAAGACCCAGTCTTTGGGAATCCTTTTTATTTCCTTATATTATTGTTGCGAACAGTTTTCTCTCCTCGAGTCATTATTTGGGTTCTTTTTAGCATTTAAGATTTCAGAAAAAGATTGAAAATAAACTAACTACTGAATATAATTTCTTTTTATGATTAATAGGTACTTGTTTTATCGATTCCGAAGATTCAAGCTAGAGAGCAAAAGCTAAATTATTTAATGCTGCTCAATTAATTGAATCAATAAAAAAGAAATTATCTTCTCTTAAACCATGTCAGAAAATGCAAGTAACTAGCAAGAAAAAGTTCTTGATTGTACATAATAATAATAAAAACAAAAGTCTTTTGTCATGACCTGTTTGGTATTTAGCTGTTTGATGTATAATTTGATCGAGCGTTGTTCATATCTGCACAATTTATCTCTTTTGATTTGTACAATGTTATTATGTTTATTCTATAATTATTATAGTCCTTTGGTCTCAAATTCAGGTTGAAATCTTGATTTTTTTCAGTTTTGGTGTTTTTTGTTCTTTTGTATTTTTTCTATGCAGTAAAAGATATTTATTATGTATTATGGCTATGGTCATATAGAGGCTGCGACTCGCTTCAATTAACCCTATTCCAAGAAGTCACAACTATTAACAGATATAAATAATTATTTATTTTTTTGTATAACTGTCTCTTGTGTTGTCTTGAGTTTTTTATTCTACTGTTAAGCGTTTATTATAGTTTTATATATCTATTATGTACTTACACACAGCAGCTGTCATTTGCCAATAGCATTTCATTTAATTGTTATCAATTGCTCTGTTATGAAATAAAATGGACATTGATCCTAACAACAGTAGTGATAATCGTCATCATGGTGATTTTCGTTTTAGTACTAGTCGCAAGTGAAAAACAGATAAATGGTTGCACATGTTCATAAATACTGCGATATGCTTATTAACGATGATGCTTTAGTACAAGAGTTTATAAATAATATAAAGAACGCAGATATATAGGACGGAGTAGACTAAAAAGAGGAAGATGACGGCAAAGACGCTGTCGTCAATATGAATGCAAACAATAACATTGAATGAACTTTTATTAAACAGAAATATCTCAGACAATATTTCTTCAGTTAGTAACTAGTGTAGTTGATTGTTCTTAAACAGCTTACTTTTCTTCGCAAATCATTTGTTATCTACGTGAAATAAATAAACTTTAAAAATTTATAAGATTCATGTCACACTTTTTTTTCGCATGTCTTTTAATTTATGTCTCCTTCAAAGTCAATTCCATGATCTGCTAATATTATTATACCATTAGATAGCCTATAGTGTTCTCTAACAAACACCGAAATATAATCGTGAAATAACAAAAAACGCCATTGCAAGAGAACTGATTAAACAAAAAACTCTTTAACCTGAATTTCACACCAAAGTACTATAGATTTCTCTGATTTCTCTTATTAATTCGGATTTGATTTTTTCGTTGCCTTTGATCCTTTGGATCTATCTTTTCTTTTTAATACAAAGAAAAACCAAACATGTAGATTTTGTTCGTACAGAAGTTTACTTAACAGAATCAAAAACTTACGATATAGTGAAAGATTTCTGGAAAACTAATGATATTGTTACAGACTTTTGAGAAAAGAAAATAACGGTTTATATCAGTATTCAAACTCAAAAACTCTCGTCCACTATGAAGTTTAAGCAAAAAAATGCTAAATTATTTACATAGATAAATACTTTCGGTACGCAGTCAAATATTATGTTTTCGAAGTATACCTATCAAAAATCTGATTAGCATTAATACCAGGCTTCGTAGTCATCCTATAATTCCTATATCTTTAGAAATTGTCCTATAATATCCTATTTTTCAGGAATTTTCCTATATTTCCTGTATATTTGAAATAAATGTGGAAACCTCGGATTTAAATCCGAGAGTTATGTGTACTTCAAAAAGTGAATCAGTCAGATCAGTCATCCTAGAATGTGTGGATATCAAAATTATCCTGGCAAACCCTTTCTATAAACACTTGAATTCTATTGGTTACTGATCAACTAATAGGATTTGGGGGCGAATACAGCTCAGATTTGAACTCTTCGCCTTGATTTACCCTAAGAAAGTCGTTTTTCTTGTAACTTGATTTCTATTGGTCCCTACTCAACCAGTGGGATTTCGAGGCAAATGGAGTACAGATTCGAGTTCTCCGATCCAGAAAACATCGAACTATCATCTCTGTAATTGGAAGATAGAGCTCTAATTCTGGATCAATTAGAGCGTGGACAAACACAGAACCGAATTCCGTTTAATTATCTTTGCAATAGGTGAGTTAACTTTCTTGTTTCCTTATGTTTTATATACTATTTTGTAGCTCGTGAAATTCTCTATCGAATGGTATATAATGGTTGGGGTTTTATTTGACTATGATACGAAAACAGAGAAGGGTCTATCTTCCCATAGGGAAGCATAGAGAAAAATGACTATTTTTGCAATAACTCAGCCATGGCTCGGTCAATCATTCTCATCTTCGAACTCGACCGAGATATTGTTAAGACTAAACTGTGTAGAAAATTTCATCGCGATTGAACTCTTCTTTCAAAAGTTATCGTATAAACGGCCGGATGGAGACACTGATCAATTCTAGAGTGTACTCACTTTTTGAGTACACAAAAACTGGTGATAAGAGTATCTGTTTTTGTTTTTTATTTAACAACTAAATATATAAATAGCTAAAGTTAAACCAATCAGTCAACTAATTCATGAAATGTCTGATGTAGATATTGAAAAATTTCTATCAAAAATTTAAGATGAATGTCTATTAACAATAATTGATGAAGGACAAATGGAATTCGAAGATGTTCATATTATTTATTGTGTAGCGAAACAAACATGATTTGAAGTTACTGCTGAACAAGGAGTATGAGTTTATATTTAGTTTTTTTTTTTTAAAGGTTAAATTAAATCCAACTGATGATGTAACAACTTATTATTCAATAGAACCACAAACAAGTGAAATTTCTCGTATTACATGTAAACAACGAGATGAAATTGATGCCATTCTTAAAAAACCATATGTTTTATTGAACAATTTAACGAATAAAGAGAATAGGAATTTGGTTACAACTAAAAAACTTTCTGTAAGTTTCGTTTGATTCTTTATGAAAATTAATATTTTGTTTTTTTATTTATTCTTAGATGAAAGATGGTGAGATTAACATCGGCATCATTCAAAATACATAATAAAAAAACAGAAATTTATTTGTAATTGCTCTTTTATTTTGATTTTAATAAACTCTGGAAGTATCTATTATTATTTATTGTCTAGTTTTGTGATTGATATTGTAAATACTCGATCATTATCTAATCAATTTTTCATTCATCACCAAATGAAAGTTTCCAGAATTTGAAAGAAAGAAAACTAAGATTACTATTGACTATAGTTGACGTATTGATTTCAATAGAGAAGAAAAATAAAAACGTTTTTGTTTGTCTTGAAATATTTTCTTTAGTGATTGAAGGACTTTAATTGTCTTATCATCATATTCTAGTGTAAACCTTGAATTCTCTCAATGAAATTCATATCGATTACAGAGTTATTTCTCGTCATATTGTAAATTATGATTATTTTCGCTCTTTGTTTTCTTTCAATGAAAGCAAATTGAAGTTGTGTATGGATGTATAGAATATTCACACCTATATCAACACTCTACTCAGGATAGACTTCTTGATTCATTAGTTCTCGATCAGTGATAGAATAAAAATTTTCAAAAAGTCTATTACTTAAAGTCATCCAAACCATTGTAGAAAGTTCGTAGGAATACGGAAGGGTACAGATGAAGGAAATACTCATATCCATCCATATCATGGAGGAAAAGCGAGACTTCACTACTTCGGAGTACTGAAATCTCGTTTTTTCTCGTTGATCTACATCTACATTCACACTCTCGTTTATAGACATGGGCAAAATCGACTTGGTTTGGAATTGGAATTGTATCTGAAGCAATTAATTATGGATGAATAGAAATTACGAGGGTCTTTTAGATCATAACAAAAATAATATTGTTGAAGAATAAGAAGATGGAACAAATAATGTTTAAATAAATTTCTGAATGATTAATTTAACCTTTTGTAAGAAAATAAAGAAAAGTGTTATTGTTTTTCATTAAAATGCTTCCGATTCCAATATTCTTGTAACTTGGAATCGAAATTGGCAAATTCAAGTTTTTTTTACGATCGAACTTGCTCGTTCCTAGTTGTTCATAGAACATTTCCATAGTAACGATAGAATGTAAGAGATAGTTAACACAGTGATCCTTCGCATGACGAACGAAATAGATGGCATCGATCAGTATTTGTACCACTTATCGAAGGTGGCATATTAGTTGGATGAAGTCCAAGTATAACATGCCAAAGATGTTCAAAACCCCATCCAAACCATTTCGAACCAACTTCACCAGGTTTTTCGCGTTCGGTGATACAATATGGTTCATGACTAGCATTATACAATTTTGACCATTGTTCATATGTATAGTGATGAATACGTTGTTTTGTTACGTAAAATTGAGCACAGCAATATGTTGAAATGAGACTATCATCTTTTGGATCAAGTTTAGTAGGATTCAATTGAAGGTCAGCATTGTAACCTAGTAATTTTAATAACCGACTTGCACACTGATACGTAAATGATACGTAAGAAATTGGATCTCGATCATATACGGACCAGGGTCGATTGTGTATCCAAAATGAATTAACACTGGCATAATGAACATCGTCACGTATGCATAAAGCTGCTTCAATTGGATGAGGCGAATGAGCAAATGGATCTCCATGAATAAATAGCATTTTTTCCGGTAAATCATAATAGTAATCATAAATAAACTGTAAATAAACACCAGCTTCTTGATGAACATTTCGACAATAAGGCCAGTTATAGGGAGATCTAGATTGAGGATCAATACGTTGATAGAGATGAACATGATATAACATTGAGTTGTTTCTAGTCATATTGAGTCCTGCACGAAGCCACAGTGGCCAACTCAATTGATTATACCAATCGATTTCATTCCACATGGCCGGTACTACAACAAGCTTATTGATTGGCCATTTGCTATGAAACACATTTTTCACAGTTAGGTTTGTAGTTGCTGTACGAAATGTCAATTGTGAACTAGAAAAGATATTGTTCCAACTTGAATGTTTTTCTATGAACACAAGACCTATGGTACCAAGTAGAATCAATCCAATAATGATAAGACCGACATAACTAAAAGATCATTAATAAGTTGTGATAGGCAGCATAGAAATCAGTCAATTAATCCCTAGAGTAAGGGTGTGAGAAGCTATTATCGGAATTTTAAAAAAAGACCATCGGGCAAAATGCTTTTAACTTTTGAACGAAGATAGCTAGAGCCCTGTGGTTTTCACCATTCGAAAGAGGAGACAAGGGGACGCCTTTTCCTCCAATATTGTATAGGATGAAATCATTTAAAAATCAGTCATTTCTAAAAATCATTGAAAAAATGCATGAAAACGATCTGTCATTCCGATGAAATTTTGGTTCTGACATCTGATCTAGATAGAGGAACTTCAGATGTATAGTTCAAGATATAATTCGAATGATTATCTTTCCATCTCCTAATGTTGAACAAATAAACTTGTCTATTCAATCGCACGAAAACTATAGAGTTCTTTTAATTTTTAAGCGTATTTTCTTACTTTTCGTCAAAATTTCATCTGAATGACAGACCGTTTTTTATACATTTTTTCGATATTTTGTAGAAATGACTGATTTTTAAATGATTTCGTCCTATACAATATTGGAGGAAAAGGCGTCGCCTTGTCTCCCCTTTCGAATGGTGAAAACTGCAGGGCTCTAGCTATCTTCGTTCAAAAGTTAAAAGCATTTTGCCCGATGGTCTTTTTTTAAAATTCCGATAATAAATCTTATACCCATCCACTCATGCCTACATCACGACAGTAGATCTGGCTTTTCTCGACACAACAATCAGATAGGAAGAATTTGATCGGATAAAACGTTATTCTCATTTAGAACTTCGAAACAAAAAACAATATTGACTATATATTGAACCTTGTTGAAGGAATTTTTGTTGTTTTTTTTTTGTCTAAAATTTATATTTTGATAAAAACTTTGAAAAATGCAGAAGTTTTTGAGAAAACATGTTAAGAAAGTTCAAATTTCCACCAGTACATAAACGAAAATCTAGTTATTTTTCGAACAGCCATATTTATTCTGAAAGAAGAATTTTAGGTACACACTTTCGTATGATAAAAACTCAATTTTGATTTTTTTTTTTTCGAAAGATTAGATTTCTAAGGAGGAGTGGGACACTTTATATAAAATAACGTTGCTATTCTCATAGAAATGGAGAGATTTTAGAAAAAGGATATTGAAGCGATCATACGATGCATTCTGATCGTTGGTTTGGTCCATGGCGGTGAAATATAAATGAATTGGTTCATGTTTTCCCTTTGATTGTACGTTGTCCATTTTTATTGTTTTAATTGTGTTTCAAGTGATTATTTATCTAGTTTGACTGCATGTATTAAAAACCGATGTGATTTCTCTAGAATATATGAAAAGATTAGAGAAAAATTGAATCTCAAGAATGTGGTAAGCGCTCAATTAAAAACTATAATATAAAATAGAAGTGTTAGATGTACGATGAAAAAGAAGTTTTTTTCTCGATTGATAAGGAGTCAAGAAAAAAAGCTTGTTAGTACAACTTCTTGGGGTCTGAAATATGGAACTCACATATTCCTCATAAGCTACACTATTACATTAGTTGCTAAGGTCTATAATGAAGGGGAGGGAAGAGTCGGAAAACTTCGACTTAAAACTTATGCTCACTATTTTCTTTGAAAAATATATGTGAGTTCCACAAAATGTTATGTAATTAGTGATATTTGTGTTAGTTCCATATCCACTAACATTTTTCGTAGTAGTTTCTTATGAAGGAAGTAACTTTCGAGGGTAGAATGAATTTTTGTTACGAGACTAACTTTCATTACACGAACTAGTGATCTAATATATACACAATAGATTGTCGATCATTTGTAAAATTCATTCAGTAAATTAATAGTTTGTCCACTATCGAAAAGACAATGCGAATACATTACTTTTCGATTCCATATCATTGATTGTGCCATTGTTGGCAATTTAACAAGATCTTCCATCATCATTCGAAGTTCTTTTTCATATCGTATTAGTTGATGAAATAAATTTTCATAGAACTGTTGATAATATTGTTCATCTAGCTTTTTCAATATAGGTAGTACATTATTTAAATGAAAAAATTAATAGAAATGCTTTGAAATAAAATGTGATGGATAATGATTTAATAATAATGACGTATCAATGCGAATACACTCTAGATACAAATCATGTAAATTTGAACAAATAAGATCAGTAAGTAATAGAGTACGATACGGTATATTACAATGAGTATGACGTTGATAATCCGATGCATATCAACCTACAACTTAAATTACATAGTCGAAAATTTATAATTCAAGAATATATGACGTAATTACCATTCTCTCGGAAGATTTCTAGCGTCAAAATTTTCTCTCTGATAAATATCAAATCTTCTATGTATGATTCTAAGTTAGTAAGCATATTTATGTGAATAGTGTTCTCAACTAAACAAGTACATCATATGACAAAATAACGATAACTAAATTTGGGCATACCGTGTAGAGTTAAACTCAAACATGAGATAGATCGTTTTATCTCAAAAATAGAAGTCATTTCACATGTGCACAAGAGAAATAATTCTTTTCATTTCGAAAGAGAGAAATGATGATTTCGAAGAAAAGAGCCTAACAACACATCTAACAACCCAAAGCTACAATAAATTTAATTAGATCACCTAGATAGTTGCACGATAGTTACGCTAATAATACTCAGAACATACCAAAAGTTCTGGCCACGACGTTTAAAGGATCTTTTCGGATAAGAGGACCTATTGAGAAATGAAAGACCAAGTATACCATATTGTAGAGCTGTTTGAGATGCGTCAAATGGTATATAGTAAATCCTGTTTTTACAAGACTTTAAAGAAACTAGAGTCAATTTACTGACAGACGGCTACACATTCACACCCAACCATGATAAGTTGTTGAATATTGTAGTCGTCTATCAGTAAATTGTCTCTAGGTCTTTCAAAGTCCTATGAAAACAAGATTTACTATACAGCATTCGATGCGCCTCAAAAAGCTCTACAACATAGTATATTTGGTTTTTCATTTCTCAATTGGTTTCCTTATCCGAAAAGATCCTTCAAACGCCTTAATTATAACGTTTGGTGTGCCCTAAGTATTTCAAACGTCGGATACGAAATAATAAAAATGATATAAGAACTGGAAATAAAATAAAGGGAATTGACAATGATTAGTTAAAATTTAAAAAAATCTGCTGACTTCAAACGAACGTCTTATCAAGACTATTATGAATATGCGCACATTTTCATAAATTTAAAGCCATATTTAAAAAAAAGGAATGAACGCTTAAGGCCCCCCCCCCCCCCGCCCTCAAAAATCGATCTCAGCTCAGGAACATTCAAATGACATGAAAATTTCAGGATATGTTGGGGCTGGTGAGACATGGCTATGGTCAACTTTTCAGCCCTATAGCATGATGTTTAACCGAGATATGCACCAAACAAGGGGCAAAAATAGCTCTTTAGTATCTCCAAGTTTTCTTTGTGGGTCTTCATTCTAGACATTTAATTTTGTTTTTGTTTGAAAGAGCATGTCAGAATGCAGCGACTCTCGTGGCCCTTGTTTTTAAAGTCTTACTTTTTAGGGGAAAAAACCGGAGCGAAAGTTCAATGACTCAAAAAGTCTCTCTAAAAATTGCGCTGCTCCGATAGAGATGTTATCTTCTATGATAATAAAAAAGCTTATCTTAAAAAAAGGGTCACGAGAGTCGCTAGCCCTGCACATAAGCTTTCAAACAAAAAAAAATATTTGGCTTTATCTCTTACTGTGATGGAGTTCTGCTGGAGATACTTCGTTGAACCAACGTTCTGAGAAAAACATGAAACAAGTTTTTTGAAATACTATGTATCACAAAAAAAAAAGTTTATTTTGCCAATATCTCTGGATAGACGTATGATAAAATTTTGACTTTTTTCCAGAAGATAGACCGTGAAAAGCTCTACAAAAAGCCGTATGAACAAATCCATATAGACTCGTTCTGATGGTTTTATTCCATACTCAAAATGAAAAGCATATGTGATAGTATTACTTCATACCGTATTTAGCGTAAGAGTAATATTAGGTAGTCTTTTTTATTTTGCATAGATCTTAGCTTGAAAAAATGAAAAAATCTTGATTCTTTTTTGCAAAGGTACATCATCGAAGGTTCTACAAAAGCTGTATGAACAAAGCTCTGTTAACTTTATCAAAAAGCCAAAAATGGAAAGATTCAGATGAAGATAAGTGAACTATTGAACTAAATAATTTTTAGTGTTTTTGTTTTTTATATAAACAGACTTTCTTTCTTGTTACTATTTGTATGTGTAATTGAAGATAACTTTGTATTATTTTAATACAATTCTTCTTTTTCGTATTTGTTAGCGGCTATCTATTTTCAAACAAGCTCATTTCTACAATCTATTTAAATTTTCGGACAATAATTGTGACTTCAATTTTTCTAGAACTCTCAGGCCATCTATAGGAACAGTTGTAATTGTAGACTATCTGACTATCTCTTACCTAAAAAAGTGATTTTCTGAAGAAAAACGACTTTTTTTTTCAAAAGAATCTATTCTTTGTCGAAAACTCAGTTTTTCAAAAAATTGCTTTGCAATAGCGAGAATCGAATTATTGGCCGATATTCCGCTTGTTTTGGGAAGAGAAAACCTCAAAATCATATTGACTCTTAACGCACACGCTTCGAAGTGTTCAATTATACATGTATCTAAAATTTCTTTTTCTTGAAGAAATCAAACATTTTTCAGGCGAGTGGGTTGATTTTTAAAAAAAGACTGTGTCATATCCGACATCGTCGTATACTCTTCCAAATAAAACTGTTGGCTATGAAGAAG